TTCGTATGCATATTATATGGGACGCCCCTCTAGTGTCCTTGTCTGTGGTAAAGTATACGGAGAGGACACTCCCTCGGGGCGTACCACGGACCAGGCGGCAGGAGCGTATGCTTTCGGTGGTGGTAAACGGCGACTGACCACGGGCGTGGCCCTACAACTGTCCCCTGCCTGCCTCACGGGCAGCCCCCCCCCCTCTTCCCCCCTTGCAGTTGCAACGGTCATTACGTCACGATCGACAGCAGCTGACGGCGCCTCCGTAACGCTGACGAAGTGCGTGCCACTGCTACAGTGTGACACGTTACCGGCCAAGGGCGTGTATATTAATCACAGGCCCCCACAAAACCTAACTTGAAAAATCAAGGATCAAGGACAATGCTCTTGGTCTCAAGGACTCAGATTTTTGGCCGCATGTATATTTCCACTTGCCCGATCTGCTAAGCCGTCCAAGTCTAATATTGACCAAAAACTTGAATAAATTTGAACGTCGTTTCTACTGATTTTCAATCATTGCACGTCATCGCGTCTGGCAAAGATAATTGGTACTGGTGCGATTATTATTCGCAAAGTCTCGCCGTCGGTCAGCAAATCATTGAATAGTCTCCGAGGAGAGGCAGATGTCACATCGTGGGGGGCGGGGCGGTACGAGCCACTACTGTCGGCCTTGGCCATCGCATCGACTAGCCTTTTCCAGGCATGGAGGGGAGGGACTCCAGCGGCTGCGGCCGGCTCCAGAAGGCAGGCCAAATGCCTCCAGGAGGAGCAAGCACGCCGCGCCGGCCGGCAAGTCCTAGAGAGAGAGAGAGGGAAAGAGAGGGAAGGGGGGGGGGGGGCCCGCGCGTGTGCAGAGTGAGCAATGCCCCCGGTTGCTAGGACCAGGCCGCGCCAACATTTTATTTGGCACACGCAGGGAATAAGGCCCACCCCCTTTTTATTCATTCAAGTCGGTGAACGAAAGTCACAGTAGTTTGGGAGGCTGAATGAACAACCTGAATGACAATAGGAAGGCGGAGCGCGATCAAATTTCTCAAAATGTGAGGGCGTGGGGACTTGGAGAATGTGGAGAGAAAACAAAATCCCCCTGAGTTAGAAAAGAAACTTGCAAAATGTTTATCCCGCATGCGATATCTCATCTCCTTTTGCTACACGCAACAACATATAATAGCCGGTTCGCGGAAAAACAGCCCCACACGAAAACTAACGGGACTCGATAATAAAGTTTGACGAACGCCTTTCAATGCGACGGAACACACACACACACACACACGCGCCCCCGCATCCAGGCTCAGGCCAGCCTGTCAATCACTTATACGACGAGCGGAGCAGACCGGAGCGTCGCCGTGTCGGGACGACGGGCCGCCAGGTGCGGGCAGGAGGTGAGGGCACGGCACCCTGACCCGAGCGAAACCGTAACAGGGCGCAAGGGACGTAACACTGTGAAAAGTTTTGTAGGTGAAGTCGTACACTATGAACATCCAAGTGTTCGAACGTCAAACACTTGCAGGTGTGTAAAAAAATTCAGACGTTTGTAGGTGTGCGACAAGATACTCACACACTTGTAGGTGAGCGCATAAAAATTAATGCACTTGGAAAGCATAGCATAAAGCAAGCGGGGGATAAAAAGGTCTTCCTCACCCGTATTTTACACGGGCCCCGCGCAGCTAATGAAAGCTACTTAAACGGATTGAAGAGGACTTGGTTGTT